ATCGTCGCTCTTGTATTCTTCTCGCCGCCAGTCTTCTCAACACGGATTACTCTCGCCGTGGCCTTCGTCCTTCTGTGAACCACGCGCACGTCGTCGTCTTCTTCCCACGGAGGACTGATCTCCTGCGTCGCTGGGGTGTTCGTCGTCGTCACGTCTTCTTCTTGTGGAGGACAGATCTCCTGTGTGCCACGTGCACGTCGTCATCTTTGTCCCGCGGAGGAGAGATCTACTGCGTTGCGTGGATGTCCGTCGTCGTCGCGTCTTCCTCCCGCAGAGGACAGATCATCTGTCTTCCATGTGCACGTCGTTGTCGTCACGCCACAGCCGCACGGGAGACCTTTTTCACGGGAGACATATTTTTTGCCAGGTCGGCCACACTTCCCGCTCGTCCGATCACACTGCCAAGCTCGCCTTCAAAGGTCGCCACGAAACATGTCTATGTGAGGGAACACCCGTGGGAAGAAGCGCGACGTGGTCGTCGACGATAGTCAAGAGCAGGGAAGAGGGCGGCGGCAGGCCCCGAAAGCGAAGAGGGTGCGTACGGAAGATGCGTTGCCAAGGGTTCGTGGTCGTGGAGCGCAAGGTTGGGCGGGGGAAGTGGAAGGGGACTGTGACGATGAGTTCACGGCGGAGGAGGAGCAGGCGGAGGCGACAACGTCTGAAGTACGCGAGAGTGATCGGCAGCGCTCTTCTGATCGCACCGCTTCGAAGAGGATGCAGACCCCTCCACACGAGGCGCAGCAACTGCGTGGCCGTGGAACGTGGACAGAGAAGGCTCCCGTCGTCGATCTTGGCGGCGATGATGACGAGCCCTTGGAGAGACGCCGCATTCGCATTCGTACGACGGCGACCCCACCGCCGGAGGTGGTCGTGCGGGTTGCTACAAACGATAGGCCAGTCTCGGGCAGGCTGCCCGCCACGCCGTCTCAGCCACGTCAGCGCAACGACGCTGGTGATGGAGGGTCCGTCCAACGTGTTGGCGGGGGGAAAGTCGTGGCAGACGCTCGCGCAGTTGGCGCCCAGGTGGCAGGTGTCGTGGGGGCGGTTGGTTCAGGCAACGTGGGCGCCGTAGCGACTGGGAGGGAGGACGCAGCAGTTGTGGCGACGACGAGAGAGGAGGCGCGTGGCGAGAGGAAAGTCGAGCGGGAGGCAGGCGAGGCCGGTTTAAGTCGGCCACGAAGGAGTGTCATGACGAAAGACCTCATTGATCGTGCCGTCCTTTGGGTCGATGACAAAGCTTTCTGGACGACGGGGGAGGGGCGAAGCCTATACAACATCGTACACGAAACG